AACCCTAAACGGATATATTCCTTAATTGAGGGATAAGCCCTAAATCCTAAAAGGCCTAAAAGGTATAACTTACCCTAAACCCTAAACCCTAAACCCTAAACCCTAAACCCTAAACCCTAAACCCTAAACGGGGTTTGGGGCTGGTGGGACTCTGGGTTCAGGTTTCGGGTGTCACGACTTCGAAGTCAGGCTCCGGGCTTGGGCTAAGGACTTCGGTTTAGGGTTATAGGGTTTAGGGTTTCGGGGTTTAGGGTCTAGGGTCTGGGATTCGGGTTGAGGCATAGCAAGTTAGGATTCAAGGGTTGAGAGTGAGGAGTGAGGGGGCTTCACACTTCTGGATTCCGGGGTTTAGGGTTACACGGTGGGGGAAGGTTCAGAAGTACCAAACTTATCCTCTGAGTTATTTTCGTCTCCGGGGGTTTGGGGCTCTTCAGCCGTCGTGTTTCGGGCTCAAAGGCAAGGGCTTGACAACAGGAATCTACCAGCCTATCAGGTCCTGGGCTGCTAGGAAGTCGTCAAGGTTTAGGGTTTAAAATTCTAAATTTTTGAGTCCTTGTACCCTACATGCCGTTGTGCACAGAAACAAGCCTTCGAGGGCTCGTGGGTTACTCAAAGGATCAGGGCTGTAGCTACAATGACTACACTTGTAAGTAACTCGGTCATCTACAACCATACGTGCAAGCATCCAGGCAACTGTTAATAAACCCTAAACCCTAAACCCTATAAGCACAATGTAGGCCTTAGGGCCTAGAGGGCCTGAGGTTTAGAGCTAAGTGAAAGCATTGCATGAACATCTACATCGGCATTTTCAAGCGAACCGGAGGCCGCGCCTCTCCCTAGACTTTAACCCGCAAGCCAAAGAACCCAACACCGCGCCGGTGAGGAGTATACCTTCAACGACACACTGCTGGTTATTATGATTCAGGCTGCATTCCTTAATTGCCGGCATCGCCCTCTCTGGCAACATCTGGGAACCCCAAGCCTAAACCCTAAGTCCAAAACCCTTAAACCCTCAACCCTACCGGGACTGTTCGGGACCCGGGCGACAATCGTTGGGCGATTAGCCGCGAGCAGCGTTTCGCAAGGCCCGGGAATTCACAGACCTGAGCCAGCAAAGGGTTTGGGCTTCAGGGTTTAGGCGATTAGAATGTTGCCGCAACACATGTAAGGACCAAAGGAACAACTCTTGGGAGGTTCGGGCTTGGTTTTGCAGCTACACTACGACCACTATACCCAGCCACACTTATATGGGTACATAAAAAGATGGGATACCCTACCTGCGTTGCGCTGAACCGCAACTTCGATGCTACGCTTTACTCTGCCCGTAAGCTCTAAATCCGTCAACCCTACACACTAAGCCGGAGTAGATACACTTATTTCTAGATATACCTGCATGTGTATAGAGCGGCTGACTAAACCTATGGTTC